CGTCGAATATTTTTTAAAATTTTGGTTTTAAGAATATTGTACTTACGCTCTGCTTCCTTTCTCAAGTGGTTTTTAACAGAAGCCCGTTCAGGAATTTTATGTTGATCTTGTTTGAATTTGTCTTCAGGAGTACAAATATCATGTGTTTTCCTCAACTCCTCACAAATGTCCTTCAAGATTTTCATTTTATCTAAAGTTGGACAAGATGGTTGGGCAGGCAACCTTCTCTTCACAAAGTCAGCCTTGATTTTTTCACTTACATTTACCGTGGGTTCAACATTTACTATGCTACCAGTTGTGATGGTATTATTACTCACTTCTATCGAATTTGGATCTATTCCATCAGTTTTCATATCTATGGAATACTGAGCTAAGGGCAACAAAAATATCGCAAAAATCACAATCTTGACAACTGTCACTACCACGCTGAATTCGTTGACAATGGGATGATTCTGACCATTTTCGTTTTCAGTGATCATATTAAAAATAATCTCTTATCTCGTATCACCACTTATTGATATAATATTCAATGAAGAATCGGTCGATCATTTCTTGTGGCGCAAAATGTAGGTAACTGGGGAAAATCAATGTTTTGTTCATAGCACCCCATCGAGTTTTCAGGATGGAAGGACGCGTGATACATGCAGATCCTTTACTTTGTCGATTGTATGACAATAGCGCAAGCGCTATGATTTCAGACAGACCTACGAAAAATTTTCGAAATAAATATGTACTAAATTGATTTTATTTTATAGAATGTTTTGTGTTCGATTCCTTCTCTTGCAGAGTGTGAACTTTTTCAGTTGGAATACATCCTGTAAAAATCAACAGATGAATTTTTATCTCGTATAGATGTACCTCATAAAAAAGGTTAAAGAAGCTAACGTATAGAACATTTTGTAGTTATTTTCGTAAACAAGTCAAAATAAGTCAAAACTGAAATATCGGCATAAATTGACATTCAAAATATAATATCCTTCCTTGAAATGTCTAGATGAATTTGCTGTATCTGATGCATTTTTTCGGTTTTCTATTTCTCCATTATTGTATAAATAGTGGGGAGCTTCTAAATAAGGAAAACGTTAAAAATATATGAAAAAACACTTCATGAAGATGTGTATACCATGCACATAAGTTTCTTTAAGTTCTCATTTAATTTGTGAAGCAAACAATCATAGTGGAATAAATAACATGCACAGGAAAGCTGAATAACAATATCTAATTTCATAAACTACACCTTACGATTCGATCTCCACAAACTTTATTTTGGACAACCAACGGAAGAAGTGGCTTCATATTTGAGGAAACGATATATTAAAATTGCATAAAGAACAAGTAATACGTTGGGAAAGTTAGTTGAAAATAATAAAGACAAAATATCCAAATTTGAGAAATCATGAGTATATGTATGAATTAAAGTGTGGAACGTGTCCTAAGGTATATATTTGTCAAACTCGCAGAACATTTAGGAATCGAATCCAGGAACATCATATGAGCTATGTAAATAAGGAAACAAGTTCAACGTATTCAAATAATCTTTCAGAAGAAAATCATATCTTTGAAGAAGAGTTCGAAATTTTACACAAAGAAAATAAAGCAATGGAAATCAATAAACTCAAAAATTCAAACATGCTAATGAATGACTAACTGGATTTGAATAGATCACCATTATTGAATTTGTTTTCTTAAAATATTGATGAAGAAGTGGGGTAATATGCTTCAGGTAATCATAATTGAAGAGGTACCTCAGGTATATAAAAGTTTTAGAGATTTTGGTCATTTGATGGAGGTAGTCTCAATTGTATTTACCTGTGGTATATAAATATTAGCGTAAGAAGCAATTTGTAGTATTCAAATCACTGTTGAAGAAGCTACTGTGTTAGCGAAATATGTCGTGATATATTTCTCAAATAAAGTTTGTGGATATCAAATCGTAAGGTATAATTTGTGAAATTACTATGGATCTTCATCAAGTGACGGCCAAATTATTCAGAAAAAAAATCATGAATAACAATATATGTAATAGCATTAAGTAATTAGTCCCTACCTTTTAACTTTAACTTAAGATATTTCATTATTAAATTTTTATTACGTTCATTCTTGTAGTCGGAAGCCAGGCGGTTCGACGCGGGTGCTTTGTTCACTCATTCGAATTGACTGTCGTGTTGGTCGGTGGTTGAAGCTCTAGTCTGAACGATCGATTTTCACTAGCTATCGTCCAACCCGTGTTAGGAATCACACGTTAAAAGGTAAGACCTCGTTAATCCTTAGCTCGCACAAGTTTCTACTTCTGAGGGTTGTCGTTCGTAGGGGTGCAACAGTTGGTTAACGGAAAAACAGGTTTTTTTAAAATCAGGTAACAAGCTGGACAGCTGGTTAACGGAAAAACAGATTTTAACAGTACAGATTTAACAGTCTACTAATTAGGAAGCAACAAGTATCACTGAAGAAGAAGACTGGATAATTTCCTCAAGGGAGTATCTTGGGACTACTCTTATTTCTGTTGTACATAAATGACCTACCTGACTTCATTGAAGGGGGAAAGGTGTTTATGTATGCAGACGATACGACAATAATAGTGACGGGCTCTTCGCTGAGTACTCTTAATGTGAAAGTGACCTCAGTAGTGAACCAATTCTATGAATGGTGTACAAGAAACCATCTTGTGGTGAACCTACAAAAAACTATGTTCATTCAATTCAACAGTGCACGCAGTANATAACAAAAATGAACCCTAATAAAATAATTTGTAGGGATTTCATAAACTACACTTTAAGATTTGATCTCCACAGTAGCTTCTTCAACAGTGAATTGAATACTACAAGTTGCTTCTTACGCTAATATTTATATACTACAGATAACTACAGTTGACACTACCTCCATCAAATTACCTAAACCTCTGCAACTACGAAGGTACCTCTTCGATTATGATTACCTGAGGCATATTACCTCACTTCTACATCAATAATAATACTTCCTGGTTTTTTTTTAAGAAAACAAGTACAATAATGGTGATCTATTCAAATCCAGTTGGTTATTCATTAGAATACTTGAATTTTTTAGTTTATTAATTTTCATTGCTTCTAAATGATTCAGTTTATTTGGAAGCAATGGAAATTAATAAACTCAAAAATTCAAACATTTCAATGAATGACCAACTAGATTTGAATAGATCATCATTATTGGACTTGTTTTCCTAAAAAAAAAACGGGGAAGTATTATTATTGAGGTAATATGCTTCAGGCAATCATAATTGAAGAGGTACCTCAGGAATATAAAAGTTGTAGAGGTTCAGATAAATTGATGAAGATAGTCTCAATTGTAGTTACCTGTGGTAAATAAATATTAGCATTAGAAGCAACTTGTATAGTATTCAAATCACTGTTGAAGAAGCTACTGTGTTAGCGAAATATGTCGTGATATATTTCTCAAATAAAGTTTGTGGATATCAAATCGTAAGGTATAATTTGTGAAATTACTATGGATCTTCATCAAGTGACGGCCAAATTAATCAGAAAAAAAATCATGAATAACAATATATGTAATAGCATTAAGTATTTAGTCCCTACCTTTTAACTTTAACTTAAGATATTTCATTATTTAATTTTTATTACGTTAATTCTTGTAGTCGGAAGCAAGGCGGTTCGACGCGGGTGCTTTGTTCACTCACTCGAATTGACTGCCGTGTTGGTCGGTGGTTCAAGTTCTAGTCTGAACGATCGATTTTCACTAGCTATCGTCCAACCCGTGTTAGGAATCACACGTTAAAAGGTAAGACCTCGTTTCTACTTCTGAGGGTTGTCGTTCGTAGGGGTGCAACAGTTGGTTAACGGAAAAACAGTTTTTTTCAAAATTAGTTAACAAACTGGACAGCTGGTTAACGGAAAAACAGATTTTAACAGTACAGATTTAACAGTCTACTAATAAGGAAGCAACAAGTATCACTGAAGAAGAAGACTGGATAATTTCCTATGTAACGGAAAGGCAATTATATGTGAAAATTGGGAATGATCTCTCAAGCCAATATAATATAGGTATTGGAACCTCTCAAGGGAGTATCTTAGGACCACTCTTATTTCTGTTGTACATAAATGACCTACCTGACTTCATTGAAGGGGGAAAGGTGTTTATGTATGCAGACGATACGACAATAATAGTGACGGGCTCTTCACTGAGTACTCTTAATGTGAAAGTGACCTCAGTAGTGAACCAATTCTATGAATGGTGTACAAGAAACCATCTTGTGGTGAACCTAGAAAAAACTATGTTCATTCAATTCAACAGTGCACGCAGTAATAAACCAAACCTTGTCAACCTGAATATAAACAACAATCAACATGAATTATCAAGCTGAACAAAATTCTTAGGCATACATCTCGATAACAACATAACGTGGATCGAACAAATAGATAATACATGTAACAAACTCAAAAAAAGCTGCTTTGCCTTCCTAACACTAAAAAAATCTCTTCATGAATCATCTCTCCTGAAAGTATATTACTCCGTAGTATACTCGACCTTATCATTCAACATAATCAGTTGGGGCCTTGCAACTGAATGGACTAGAGTCTTCGTTCTCCAAAAACGCATAATAAGAATTATATATAATATGAAAACTTTTGACTCATGCCGAGAAGTATTTAAACAAAAGGGTTTATTGACATTTCCCTGCAGATACATTTTAAATATATTACTGTATATACCTACATACTAATAAAGATTGCTATGCTAGAAATGGTGACAGACACAGGTATGAAACAAGAAACAAAGATAACCTTCGCATCGAAAAGTTCAACTACACATATTATACAAAATCACCACAACAAGTATTTGCCGGTAATTGTAAAAGTTTGTTGTACTTTTGTTTTAGTTTTTACCGCATCAACAACTAAGATTCCATTCATATCTTTGACTTTTTCAAATTTATCAATACCAATGTTTTGAATTGTGCATTTTCTATCAAAATAATAACAAAAAAAATATGGGGTGGGACAAAATTTCGGCCGGAGATTCATATATTTTTTACCGATTTCGCAGTATTTGCCGGTAATTGTAAAAGTTTGTTGTACTTTTGTTTTAGTTTTTACCGCATCAACAACTAAGATTCCATTCATATCTTTGACTTTTTCACATTTTAGGTCATGTAGTTAATGCCTTCGACATGTTCTCATTATTGAAAATAATTAATTAAAAATGCAACAATAGGAAATGAAAAAAAAGAAAAAATTAAATGAAAAGCAGGATGACCTAGGCTAGATTCGAACCCGCGTCTCATAATGTAGTCTAGTTCAGCGCTTTAGCCCGCTTCGCCAAGAGTTACCTTCTGTATCTGTAGAGCAGGGAGGGTGAGTGTAGGCCCACAGCACTTAGGCCAAATGTGGTCCATTGTACATCCTCCCGAGGAGTTATCCTCCTAGGTCATTGTCCATCCTGTCCTTTCCAGGAAGGTGGATAGGTCACTAGGAGACATCTCCTTTATATCGGCAGGTGTAGGTCAAGACTCGCCGAACACATACTCTCTTTTTGACGATAACTCCGGACACTTGCATTAGACATGCTTCCTGTTCACACATCCTGCATAGAGGTTTATCCACTAGCCCCATATTATGGAGGTGTTTCCTTAGTTGATAGTGACCA